TTTTGTGTTTATCACAGGAGAACATAAGCTCACAATTTATACTTTGTTAACCCTGGCTTCTATAGTGGATATACCCTGATTTACACCAGCTGAGGGTCTGGCCAAGTATTGAATTTTATAGAACTGCACTTGTACTGTGGATACTATTTTTCATTCAGAATAACATGTCTAATTGTTTCCATTTTAGGGAAGATGATGAATCATCAATAGGTATACATTTTTTAAATATTCAGAAAATAATTTCTGTTCAATATACATAGAAACAAAAACTCATCTTTCTAATGCTATTCAGAAGAGACTTTCTGGTTAGTACACATAGCAGCATGAAGCATGCAGTTTAGACATTCTGAAAACAACAACTGATTTGCAAGGATATTTTTGCTGTTGGAGCTCCTGTGTGAATTTCTGAAATGGGAGAATAAATCCAGACGCATTTTTACCAAACTCTCGAACAAAAGACGTTTTACCTTCTCTTAGGAGCAGATCGTCATAAGGAGTGAATTGTCATAGACCCATTGACAGAGCTATGACACTTTATACCAGCTGAAGATCAGCCCCATACAGAGCCAATTCCTTACTGTATTTTGAATATGGAAGTTTCAACAGCAGCAGCAACAAAACCCAACAACAACTATGCAGAACATTTTCATAACTTTGTTAGTAATTGTCCTATTTTACCACCCATTTTAATGGGCTGAAAATCCTCCTTACAAAGGATATCAAAATAAAATAATATCATGCAAATCCAATAGAGACAATATTATGGTGACAATGACGTGATATTTTTTTAACATGATGTCAAAACACAATGTCATCCTGAATCCATGGAGACACTATTATGATGTCAAAATGAAACATTATCAACACAAATTGATGAAGACTATAAGAAAGGCAAAATGAAATGATATTAGTGCAAGCCTATAAGATTATAATGTCAACATCATGTTAAGGGCATTTGACACATTAAGTGGTATTATTTATTATACATTTTTCATTTCTGTTCATAGCAAAAATCCTGCAATTTAATAGCATTTGTTGAAATACCATTAAAGTTGAAAAACAAATGAACAAAGCTAAAGTGGTTTTAACCACAGAGCAGTTGAGTTGCTAAGTTTCACATATAGTAGATGTAGTTGTACTATATGATATGGTTTTTCTGTAAGTGAGAATCATATGTTATATGGCATTGTATTCTGTAAAAGAACCACTTAATATTTAATAATTAAAATAAATTAGTATTTTTTATATAGCACTTACTTTGAATCGCAAAGCACCTTATAAAGGTGGGCATTACTTCTTTTGCAGGTGAGTAGACTGAAGCACAAAAAGTATCAGTGACTTGGCCAAGAAGAGTGGTAGGGACAAATCTTGACTTGTAAATCTGCCTCCTGCTGTGTTGCTCAAGTGTTAGACAATGCTGCCACTCACTTCAGTTAGCTACCCTCACCAAGCACCATTACAAAACCTCAGGCTTTGTTTCCTGTTGAAAAAGGAAAACCTCTTCGCTTTTCCATAGCTTCCTCCAGGCTAGACATCTTGGTGCCAGCTTTACCTCATGTCTTAGTAACTCAGGTTGTCCTGAATCATTCTTATTCCTGCTGTGGTCTGCTGTGATAAGAGGAGTATGTGTACATTCAAGTATCTGAAGTCCGTTTCTTGTTAGAAACATAAAGAAAAGTAACAACGCAAAAGTAAAGTAGACTTGTAACAGTTTCTAATCCAGTTTTCTTAAACATGGCAAAATCACCAATTCTCCTTCAGGACTGTGTCCTTCACTGTACATGCCAAATAGGAATTTAAAAAGAAAAGTAACATTTAAGGTATCCACACACAGAAATAATTTGCAGTCATCTTAACTGGCAAAACATGCTTTTCAGCTCAAAAAAGAAACTAGACGAATTAATTCTATTGAAGGTAACCCTTTTGACTGTAACATTTATGACAATTTGTAGTTGTAAATTATATGAGGCAAAAGTGGTTATAATAAAGGATAAAAAGAAGTAAAGGAAAAGTGTCACAGTTTCAGGGAAACTGCACCTGTATGCCTAGGTGCCGAATTCCCCACTTTCCCGTGGGTGCTTGACCCCCCCTCGGTCCCCCAGCCCTGCCCCCATGCCTTCCATAAGGCCCCGCCTCTTCCCATCCCTTCCTTACCACCATTTCAACCCCTTCCCCAAAGTCTCTGCCCCCTCCCTGCCCCTATACCACCCCTTCCCCAAATCCCCGGTCCCACCTCCTCCCCTGAGTGTGCCACATTCCTGCTCCTCCCACCCACCTCCCAGAGCATGCTAACGCTGCCAAACAGCTGTTTGGCGACGGCCAGGCGGGAAGCGCTGGGAAGTAGGCAGAGGAGCAGGGATGCGGCACACTCAGGGCGGAAAGAGGAGGTGGGGCAGGGGGTGAGAGGAGCTTGGCTGCTGGTGGATGCAGAGCACCCACTAACTTTTCCCCGTGGGTGCTCCAGCCCCGGAGCACCCATGGAGTCGGCGCCTATGCCTGTATTCCCCCTTTATGATCCCTCAAGGGTACCCCTCTAGCCTCCAAGCTCCCAGCTGTCAACTCCCTTGGGAACATTTCACTCCCTCCTGACAGGGGCTTCTTTAAAGCTGCACAGTTCCCTGCCTACATTGTGATATCCCCAGCAAGACAGAGTGCCTAAAATGCAGGCTCTGTGCTTTGCTCTCTCTCTCTCTAGAAGCTATGACCAGTGTATTACCCATAGTTGTAAGTTACCACACAGCTCTTTCTAAGCACGTACATTTATTCTTAAGGTGAAAGCATAACAGAGAAAATAATAAAAACAATAACATTTCAATATGCCTGCTAATAGCTTACACTGCTCTACAGCCAAAATGCTTCTGAAATAAATGTAGTCAAACTTTACTAATTCTGGGTCACTGAGAAC